AGGAGGAAATAGAGGGAGCTGTAGCTACTCAAACAGCAGTATGTGGACACCCCTTCAAATCAGTGGATTCTATTTCAGCCGTTGCTGACAGGTGCATAAAATCGAGCACACTGCCACGCAATCTCCGTAGACAAACATCAAACACCTTTGGGAACACTTGGAACGCCGACTGCGAGCCAAGGCCTAATCGCCCAACATCAGTGCCCGACCTCACTAATGCTCTTGTGGCTGAATGGAAGCAAGTCCCCCGCAGCAATGTTCCAACATCTAGTGGAAAGCCTTCCCAGAAGAGTGGAGGCTGTTATAGCAGCACAGGGGGGGACCAACTCCATATTAATGCCCATAATTTTGGAATGAGATCTTCGACGAGCTGGTGTCCACATACATTTGGTCATGTAGTGTATCATCATTGAAAAACTAAGGCAAAGCATGACAAACAAACTATAATCATTGAAGAAGTAACGCAAAGCAGGGCAATGTTCCAGCTATGAGCTCATTATGTCTAAGTGTTAAACATCCAGGAGGCAGGCACATGGCAGTAAGTGTTGAATTTAGCAGCTGAGCTGTGTGGGAGCATTCAGAAGGCAGGCACATGGCAGTAAGTGCTTTAACCTCTCTCTCCCTCCCCCTCTCTTTCCATCTTACTGTCTGGTCATGAGGACATATAGAACAACAACATGATACAGTAAAGAAGCCTGATAGAACAACAACATGATACAGTAAAGAAGCCTGATAGAACAACAACATGATACAGTAAAGAAGCCTGATAGAACAACATGATACAGTAAAGAAGCCTGATAGAACAACAACATGATACAGTAAAGAAGACTGATACAACAACAACATGATACAGTAAAGAAGACTGATACAACAACAACATGATACAGTAAAGAAGCCTGATAGAACAACATGATACAGTAAAGAAGCCTGATAGAACAACAACATGATACAGTAAAGAAGCCTGATAGAACAACAACATGATACAGTAAAGAAGCCTGATAGAACAACAACATGATACAGTAAAGAAGCCTGATAGAACAACAACATGATACAGTAAAGAAGCCTGATAGAACACAACATGATACAGTAAAAAGCCTGATAGAACAACAACATGATACAGTAAGAAGCCTGATAGAACAACATGATACAGTAAAGAAGCCTGATAGAACAACATGATACAGTAAAGAAGCCTGATAGAACAACAACATGATACAGTAAAGAAGCCTGATAGAACAACAAAAACATGATACAGTAAAGAAGCCTGATAGAACAACATGATACAGTAAAGAAGCCTGATAGAACAACAACATGATACAGTAAAGAAGCCTGATAGAACAACAACATGATACAGTAAAGAAGCCTGATAGAACAACAACATGATACAGTAAAGAAGCCTGATAGAACAACAACATGATACAGTAAAGAAGCCTGATAGAACAACAACATGATACAGTAAAGAAGACCGATAGAACAACAACATGATACAGTAAAGAAGCCTGGATAGAACAACAACATGATACAGTAAAGAAAGCCTGATAGAACAACAACATGATACAGTAAAGAAGACCTGATAGAACAACAACATGATACAGTAAAGAAGCCTGATAGAACAACAACATGATACAGTAAAGAAGCCTGATAGAACAACAACATGATACAGTAAAGAAGCCGGATAGAACAAAACAGGATACAGTAAAGAAGACTGATAGAACACCACATGAAATACAGTAAAGAAGCTGATAGAACAACACATGATACAGTAAAGAAGCCTGATAGAAACATGAACAATAAAAGCTGATAGACACTGACAGTAAAGAAGCCTATAGAACAACAACATGATACAGTAAAGAAGCCATAGAACAACAACATGATACAGTAAAGAAGCCTGATAGAACAACAACATGATACAGTAAAGAAGCCTGATAGAACAACAACATGATACAGTAAAGAAGCCTGATAGAACAACAACATGATACAGTAAAGAAGCCATATAGAACAACAACATGATACAGTAAAGAAGCCATGATAGAACAACACATGATCAGTAAGAAGCCTGATAGAACAACACATGATACAGTAAGAAGCCTGATAGAACAACATGATACAGTAAAGAAGCCTGATAGAACAACAACATGATACAGTAAAGAAGCCTGATAGAACAACAACATGATACAGTAAAGAAGCCTGATAGAACAACAACATGATACAGTAAAGAAGCCTGATAGAACAACAACATGATACAGTAAAGAAGCCTGATAGAACAACAACATGATACAGTAAAGAAGCCTGATAGAACAACAACATGATACAGTAAAGAAGCCTGATAGAACAACAACATGATACAGTAAAGAAGCCTGATAGAACAACAACATGATACAGTAAAGAAGCCTGATACAACAACAACATGATACAGTAAAGAAGCCTGATAGAACAACAACATGATACAGTAAAGAAGACTGATAGAACAACAACATGATACAGTAAAGAAGCCTGATAGAACAACAACATGATACAGTAAAGAAGCCTGATAGAACAACAACATGATACAGTAAAGAAGCCTGATAGAACAACAACATGATACAGTAAAGAAGACATATAGAACAACAACATGATACAGTAAAGAAGCCTGATAGAACAACAACATGATACAGTAAAGAAGCCTGATAGAACAACAACATGATACAGTAAAGAAGCCTGATAGAACAACAACATGATACAGTAAAGAAGCCTGATAGAACAACAACATGATACAGTAAAGAAGCCTGATAGAACAACAACATGATACAGTAAAGAAGCCTGATAGAACAACAACATGATACAGTAAAGAAGCCTGATAGAACAACAACATGATACAGTAAAGAAGCCTGATAGAACAACAACATGATACAGTAAAGAAGACTGATAGAACAACAACATGATACAGTAAAGAAGCCTGATAGAACAACATGATACAGTAAAGAAGCCTGATAGAACAACAACATGATACAGTAAATAAGCCTGATAGAACAACAACATGATACAGTAAAGAAGCCTGATAGAACAACAACATGATACAGTAAAGAAGACTGATAGAACAACAACATGATACAGTAAAGAAGCCTGATAGAACAACATGATACAGTAAAGAAGACTGATAGAACAACAACATGATACAGTAAAGAAGCCTGATAGAACAACATGATACAGTAAAGAAGCCTGATAGAACAATATGATACAGTAAAGAAGACTGATAGAACAACAACATGATACAGTAAAGAAGCCTGATAGAACAACAACATGATACAGTAAAGAAGACTGATAGAACAACAACATGATACAGTAAAGAAGCCTGATAGAACAACAACATGATACAGTAAATAAGACTGATAGAACAACAACATGATACAGTAAAGAAGCCTGATAGAACAACAACATGATACAGTAAAGAAGACTGATAGAACAACATGATACAGTAAAGAAGCCTGATAGAACAACAACATGATACAGTAAAGAAGCCTGATAGAACAACAACGGACCACCTCCTCATCCACCGCTCGGACCACCTCCTCATCCACCGCTCGGACCATCTCCTCATCCACCGCTTGTACCACCTCCTCATCCACTGCTCGTACCATCTCCTCCTTCCTATAGAAACCAGAGTTAGGATCATGTCCTCCTTCCTATAGAAGCCAGAGTTAGGATCATGCTCTCCTTCCTATAGAAACAAGAGTTAGGATCATGTCCTCCTTCCTATAGAAACCAGAGTTAGGATCATGTCCTCCTTCCTATAGAAACCAGAGTTAGGATCATGTCCTCCTTCCTATAGAAACCAGAGTTAGGATCATGTCCTCCTTCCTATAGAAACCAGAGTTAGGATCATGTCCTCCTTCCTATAGAAACCAGAGTTAGGATCATGTCCTCCTTCCTATAGAAACCAAGAGTTAGGATCATGTCCTCCTTCCTATAGAAACCAGAGTTAGGATCATGTCCTCCTTCCTATAGAAACCAGAGTTAGGATCATGTCCTCCTTCCTATAGAAACCAGAGTTAGGATCATGTCCTCCTTCCTATAGAAACCAGAGTTAGGATCATGTCCTCCTTCCTATAGAAACCAGAGTTAGGATCATGTCCTCCTTCCTATAGAAACCAGAGTTAGGATCATGTCCTCCTTCCTATAGAAACCAGAGTTAGGATCATGTCCTCCTTCCTATAGAAACCAGAGTTAGGATCATGTCCTCCTTCCTATAGAAACCAGAGTTAGGATCATGTCCTCCTTCCTATAGAAACCAGAGTTAGGATCATGTCCTCCTTCCTATAGAAACCAGAGTTAGGATCATGTCCTCCTTCGTATAGAAACCAGAGTTAGGATCATGTTCTCCTTCCTATAGAAACCAGAGTTAGGATCATGTCCTCCTTCCTATAGAAACCAGAGTTAGGATCATGTCCTCCTTCCTATAGAAACCAGAGTTAGGATCATGTCCTCCTTCCTATAGAAAGCAGAGTTAGGATCATGTCCTCCTTCGTATAGAAACCAGAGTTAGGATCATGTCCTCCTTCCTGGTGCAAAAAGATCAAACTAAAACACTAATATATCAATACAATGTACCATTGCTGTTCCAATGTTAATGAGTAGCTCCACTGTAAGAGCTTTGTCTCCAGTTAGAATAGAGACAACCATCAGAGCTCTCTATAGAAGATGTTGACATGCTTCTTATGCTCTTCCAAGCCACAAAGATTTGATTCATTTCTTCAAAACACTGTGATGAAGAACAATACAATTGCTTAAAGTTTTTTTGCCTTTTTAAATTCAATACTTTTTTTTTTTTTTTATGGTTGCTCATAATGTTAAGAGTTTAGTGATTTCTGTCTGTAAATGAAAAGCGCTCTACAAATACAGTTTGACTAACAATAACCTGGATAATCGTGTCATAGGGTTATGAGGACAAAGTCTGATAAATGTTTTACAGCTCATAAGAAAGACACAGTGTGGTCAATCTTTAGCTAGGGAACGTATTTTATGACCCAGACCAAAGGTCTTCTACCTGCTCTTATTCCAACTTAGGTTTCACTCCTCGGCCCACACAGGTAAGAATTTCACTAAATATCTAAGTATCGTGTATGTTTTTGGGTTAACATGTTTTGTATTCTTCGATATGTGAACAAGTCTAGTGTTCTTTATATTTATGACAATGTGCCTATGGCCTTCATGGCTAAATTAATTTCATCGTTTCAGACAAACAGGAAAAGTTTGTTTGTCAATCTTTACTACAGAATATTCATGCGTGTGATACTACAACTGTAGGATCTTAAAGACATTATTATGTGGATTATAATTAATGGACATCTTTGTAAGGGGTTGATACATTCTGAAATTTCAAAGTGGAAATTACAAACTTCAGAAGCCTTTTTAAGCCTCAAATACACTACAAGTTCTCCTGCAACAGGGTGATCAAATTAAGATCCTAGTTCTGTATAGCAGGATAAATGCTTGTTATTCAAGGAATTAACTTCATGTATACTCAGACCTGGCCTCTGCATCACTGAGACTCCATCAGCTGCATACCTTGCTTATGATCATGATGTTTATTTACAGATTGCTCAATAGTGATAATGAGACTCCATCATGATACTAGTAAAGTAGCATTTTCCTCATTCCATTATTGTGACATGGACATGGAGGAGTAATTTGTTTCAATAGTGATAATCAACAGATCATGATGGATAGAAAGTACTGTAGTTAGTCCTTTGTCATTCCATTGTGACACATATAAACTAGAAAGAAGACAGCATGTGATGTTGATTTTCCAGACAGTGATCTCCTGTACCGTCAGTGTCATCAGACAGACAGTGATCACCTGTACCGTCAGTGTCATCAGACAGACAGTGATCTCCTGTACCGTCAGTGTCATCAGACAGACAGTGATCTCCTGTACCGTCAGTGTCATCAGACAGACAGTGATCTCCTGTACCGTCAGTGTCATCAGACAGACAGTGATCTCCTGTACCGTCAGTGTCATCAGACAGACAGTGATCTCCTGTACCGTCAGTGTCATCAGACAGACAGTGATCTCCTGTACCGTCAGTGTCATCAGACAGACAGTGATCTCCTGTACCGTCAGTGTCATCAGACAGACAGTGATCTCCTGTACCGTCAGTGTCATCAGACAGACAGTGATCTCCTGTACCGTCAGTGTCATCAGACAGACAGTGATCTCCTGTACCGTCAGTGTCATCAGACAGACAGTGATCTCCTGTACCGTCAGTGTCATCAGACAGACAGTGATCTCCTGTACCGTCAGTGTCATCAGACAGACAGTGATCTCCTGTACCGTCAGTGTCATCAGACAGACAGTGATCTCCTGTACCGTCAGTGTCATCAGACAGACAGTGATCTCCTGTACCGTCAGTGTCATCAGACAGACAGTGATCACCTGTACCGTCAGTGTCATCAGACAGACAGTGATCTCCTGTACCGTCAGTGTCATCAGACAGACAGTGATCTCCTGTACCGTCAGTTCATCAGACTGCTGGGCTGGGCTGCTGAGGAGGGCTCTGCTGCGGGTGGGGCTGGGCTCTGCTGGGGCTGGGGCTGCTGGGGTGGGGCTGTGGGGCTGGGGCTGGGTGCTGGGGATGGGGTGGGGCTGCTGGGATGGGGCTGGGGCTGCTGGGGCTGGGGCTGCTGGGGATGGGGCGTGGGGTGCTGGGGCTGGGGTGTGGGTGCTGGGGCTGGGGCTGGGGCTGCTGGGATGGGGCTGGGCTTGGGGATGGGGCTGGGGCTGGGGGTGCTGGGGATGGGGCTGGGGCTGGGCTGGGGCTGGGCTGCTGGGGATGGGCTGTGGGGGCTGCTGGGGCTGGGGCTCTGGGGGGGCTGGGGCTGGGGCTGTGGGGATGGGGCTGGTGGGGCTGCTGGGGCTGGGGCTGGGGCTGTTGGGGCTGGGGCTGCTGGGGCTGGGGTGCTGGGATGGGGCTGCTGAGGCTGGGGCTGGGCTGCTGGGGTGGGCTGGGGCTGTGGGGAGCTGCTGGGGCTGCTGGGCTGCTGGGGCTGCTGGGGTGTGGGGCTGGGGTGCTGGGGCTGGGGCTGATGGGTTTGGGGTGCTGGGGCTGAGGGGGGGGTGCTGAGGGCTGGGGCTGGGGCTGCTGGGGCTGGGGCTGGGGCTAGGGCTGGGGCTGGGGCTGGGGCTGCTGAGGCTGGGGCTGCTGGGGCTGGGGCTGCTGAGGCTGGGGCTGGGGCTGCTGGGGCTGGGGCTGCTGAGGCTGGGGCTGGGGCTGCTGGGGCTGGGGCTGCTGAGGCTGCTGGGGCTGGCCAGACAGCCAGCAAACCAGCCAGCCAGCCAGCAAACCAGCCAGCCAACCAGCCAGCTAACCAGCCAGCCAACCAGCCAGCCAGCCAAACAGCCAGCAGGACAACCAGACAACCAGCCAGCTAACCAGCCAGCCAACCAGCCAGCCAGCAACACAACTAGCCAGCCAGACAGCCAAACAGCCAAACAGCCAGCAAGACAACCAGACAACCAGCCAGCCAGCCAGCAAACCAGCCAACCAACCAGTCAGCTAGCTAACCAGCCAACAAACCAGCCAGCCAGCCAACCAGCCAGCCAGCTAACCAGCCAGCCAACCAACCAGCTAGCTAACCAGCCAGCCAGCCAGCTAACCAGCCAGCCAGCAAGACAACTAGCCAGCCAGACAGCCAACCAGCCAGCCAGCCAGCCAGCCAAACAGCCAAGCAGACAGACAGCCAGACAGACAGCCAGACAGACAGACAGCCAACCAGCCAGCCATCCAAACAACCAAGCAGACAGCCAGCCAGACAGACAGACAGACAGCCAGCCAGACAGATAGCAAAGCAGACAGACAGCCAGACAGACAGCCAGACAGACAGCCAGACAGACAGACAGACAGACAGCCAGACAGACAGACAGCCAAGCAGACAGACAGCTAGACAGACAGCCAGACAGACAGCCAGACAGCCTATCAAAGAGGAGAGAAGACCAGTGTCTTTGTGGATGAGAGAAGAAGATAGGAAGCTCAGAAATGACACCACAAGCAAAGGCATGCTGAAAGATAGCAAGCTGCTGAAGCACAATCCTCCCCTTTGTGCTTTTCTTAGAGGCATTATTGCAACAGTGATTTCTCTGAGGCGTTAACAGCTGACATTGCCTTACAGAGAGAGAAGCAGAAAGGAAATACTTTGTGTTATTACTATGTTTCTGTATCTCTTCAGTATGATCTGAATCCTCAATATCTTTTAATGGTGTTTATTATCCTTCACATTATTAATTGAAGGAAAAGATCATGGCTGCATGTGGGCTACTGCTAGTGTGTCTGGTGAGCACACTGCTGACTACTGGAGCTGGGGTTGAGGAGAACCAACTGCTGACTACTGGAGCTGGGGTTGAGGAGAACCAACTGCTGACTACTGAAGGACTGGTGAGAGGGAAACTATGAACTGCTTGGAAAGAGGGAAACTATGAACTGCTTAGTGAGAGGGAAACTATGAACTGCTTAGTGAGAGGGAAACTATGAACTGCTTAGTGAGAGGGAAACTATGAACTGCTTAGTGAGAGGAAAACTATGAACTGCTTAGTGAGAGGGAAACTATGAACTGCTTAGTGAGAGGGAAACTATGAACTGCTTAGTGAGAGGAAAACTATGAACTGCTTAGTGAGAGGGAAACTATGAACTGCTTAGAAAGAGGGAAACTATGAACTGCTTGGAAAGAGGGAAACTATGAACTGCTTAGTGAGAGGAAAACTATTAACTGCTTAGTGAGAGGGAAACTATGAACTGCTTAGAAAGAGGGAAACTATGAACTGCTTAGAAAGAGGGAAACTATGAACTGCTTAGTGAGAAGGAAACTATGAACTACTTATTGAGAGGGAAACTATGAACTGCTTAGTGAGAGGGAAACTATGAACTGCTTAGTAAGAGGGAAACTGTGAACTGCTGAGAGAGAAGGAAACTATTAACTGCTTAGTGAGAGGGAAACTATGAACTGCTTATTGAGAGTGAAACTATGAACTGCTTAGAGAGGGGGAAACTATGAACTGCTTGGTGAGAAGGAAACTATGAACTGCTTAGTGAGAAGGAAACTATGAACTGCTTAGTGAGGGGGAACTATGAACTGCTTAGTGAGAGGGAAACTATGAACTGCTTAGTAAGAGGGAAAGTATGAACTGCTTAGTAAGAGGGAAACTATGAACTGCTGAGTGAGAGGGAAACTATGAACTGCTTAGTGAGAAGGAAACTATGAACTGCTTAGTGAGAGGGAAACTATGAACTGCTTAGTGAGAGGGAAACTATGAACTACTTAGTGAGAAGGAAACTATGAACTGCTTAGTGAGAAGGAAACTATGAACTGCTTAGTGAGGGGGAACTATGAACTGCTTAGTGAGAGGGAAACTATGAACTGCTTAGTAAGAGGGAAAGTATGAACTGCTTAGTAAGAGGGAAACTATGAACTGCTGAGTGAGAGGGAAACTATGAACTGCTTAGTGAGAAAGGAAACTATGAACTGCTTAGTAAGAGGGAAAGTATGAACTGCTTTGTGAGAAGGGAAAATGAACTGCTTCGTGAGAGGGAAACTATGAACTGCTTAGTAAGAGTGAAACTATGAACTGCTTAGTGAGAGGGAAACTATGAACTGCTTAGTGAGAAGGAAACTATGAACTGCTTAGTGAGAGGGAAACTATGAACTGCTTAGTGAGAGGGAAACTATGAACTACTTGGTGAGAAGGAAACTATGAACTGCTTAGTGAGAAGGAAACTATGAACTGCTTAGTGAGGGGGAACTATGAACTGCTTAGTGAGAGGGAAACTATGAACTGCTTAGTAAGAGGGAAAGTATGAACTGCTTAGTAAGAGGGAAACTATGAACTGCTGAGTGAGAGGGAAACTATGAACTGCTTAGTGAGAAGGAAACTATGAACTGCTTAGTGAGAGGGAAACTATGAACTGCTTAGTGAGAGGGAAACTATGAACTACTTAGTGAGAAGGAAACTATGAACTGCTTAGTGAGAGGGAAACTATGAACTGCTTAGTGAGAGGGAAACTATGAACTGCTTAGTAAGAGGGAAACTGTGAACTGCTGAGAGAGAAGGAAACTATTAACTGCTTAGTGAGAGGGAAACTATGAACTGCTTATTGAGAGTGAAACTATGAACTGCTTAGAGAGGGGGAAACTATGAACTGCTTAGCGAGAGGGAAACTATGAACTGCTTAGTGAGAGGGAAACTATGAACTGCTTAGTGAGAGGGAACTATGAACTGCTTAGTGATAGGGAAACTATGAACTGCTTAGTAAGAGTGAAATTATGAACTGCTTAGTGAGAGGGAAACTATGAACTGCTTAGTGAGAAGGAAACTATGAACTGCTTAGTGAGAGGGAAACTATGAACTGCTTAGTGAGAGGGAAACTATGAACTACTTGGTGAGAAGGAAACTATGAACTGCTTAGTGAGGGGGAACTATGAACTGCTTAGTGAGAGGGAAACTATGAACTGCTTAGTAAGAGGGAAAGTATGAACTGCTTAGTAAGAGGGAAACTATGAACTGCTGAGTGAGAGGGAAACTATGAACTGCTTAGTGAGAAGGAAACTATGAACTGCTTAGTGAGAGGGAAACTATGAACTGCTTAGTGAGAGGGAAACTATGAACTACTTAGTGAGAAGGAAACTATGAACTGCTTAGTGAGAAGGAAACTATGAACTGCTTAGTGAGAAGGAAACTATGAACTGCTTAGTGAGAGGGAAACTATGAACTGCTTAGTGAGAGGGAAACTATGAACTACTTAGTGAGAAGGAAACTATGAACTGCTTAGTGAGAAGGAAACTATGAACTGCTTAGTGAGGGGGAACTATGAACTGCTTAGTGAGAGGGAAACTATGAACTGCTTAGTAAGAGGGAAAGTATGAACTGCTTAGTAAGAGGGAAACTATGAACTGCTGAGTGAGAGGGAAACTATGAACTGCTTAGTGAGAAGGAAACTATGAACTGCTTAGTAAGAGGGAAAGTATGAACTGCTTTGTGAGAAGGGAAAATGAACTGCTTCGTGAGAGGGAAACTATGAACTGCTTAGTGATAGGGAAACTATTAACTGCTTAGCGAGAGGGAAAGTATGGACTGCTGAGTGAGAGGGAAACTATGAATTGCTTAGTGAGAGGGAAACTATGAACTGCTTAGTGAGAGGGAAACCATCAACTGTTTAGTAAGAGGGAGACTATGAACTGCTTAGTGAGAGAGAAACTATTAACTGCTTAGTGAGAGGGAAACTATGAACTGTTTAGTGAGAGGGAAACTATGAACTGCTTAGTGATAGGGAAACTATGAACTGCTTACTGAGAGGGAAACTATGAACTGCTTAGTGAGAGGGAAACTATGAACTGCTTAGTGAGAGGGAAACTATGAACTGCTTAGTAAGAGGGAAACTATGAACTGCTGAGAGAGAGGGAAACTATTAACTGCTTAGTGAGAGTGAAACTATGAACTGCTTAGAGAGAGGGAAACTATTAACTGCTTAGCGATAGGGAAACTATGAACTGCTTAGTGAGAGGGAAACTATGAACTGCTTAGTGAGAGGGAAACTTTTAACTGCTTAGTGAGAGGTAAACTATGAACTGCTTAGTGAGAGGGAAACTATGAACTGCTGAGAGAGAGGGAAACTATTAACTGCTTAGTGAGGGGGAAACTTTTAACTGCTTAGTGAGAGGGAAACTATGAACTGCTTAGTGAGAGGGAAACTATGAACTGCTTAGTGAGAGGGAAACTTGTGATGAGATAATATCATACATCTTGAATAATAACTTAAACATACCTTGTCATCCTATTTACAGATTGTGGACTGTAGCAACAAGACACTGCGATCCATACCCTCGAATCACCCTCAAAACATCACCAAACTAATTCTGAGCAATAACCTCATAGAGTTGTCCATTGCTGACGAAGCTGCTCTGAAGAATTACTCCCGTCTGACTGAGCTCCATCTAGATGGTAACCGGTTGACTGTTCTGCCGGGGAAGCTGTTTAAGACCATGTCAGAGCTGAAGGTCCTCAACCTGTCCCACAACAATATCAGTAGAGTGGAGCCGAAGGCGTTGTCTGGCCTGTTTAACCTGAGGGAGCTGGACCTGTCCCACAATCAGCTACAGTCCCTACCTCTAGACCTACTGGCTGATATACAGACACTGGCTATCCTCAGGCTAGGGGGGAACACACTGCGGAAGTTATACATCTCTGTGGAGAAGAATCAGTTAAAGGAGCTAGATCTGAAGGAGAATCCATTGAACTGCTCTTGTGTATTTCTCAACAAGATTAAATCGATGACCGACTCAAAGGTCCAGATAAGTAAGCAGCTTTTTTTTCTCTCTGTTTGCTAGTAATCCCCACGGTCTATTTTCCATTCAAAGCCTGCTGCGATCCTTCTTTACACCACGCTGACATCTACTGGTCCTCTGTAGCTCAGCTGGTAGAGCACGGAGGGTAGTGGGTTCGATCCCCGGGACCACCCATTCACAAACAAAAAAAAATTATGCACGCATGACTGTAAGTCACTTTGGATAAAAGCGTCTGCTAAATGGCATATTATTTTATATTATTACTGACAACAATGTTTAAATGAGCATTAGGGCCAACTTTCCAGCGTTGGTTGATGGGAAACGGGATGTGTGTATTTCTGCAGCAGGCTCCTGTGCCAGCCCTGAGGACCTGGCTGGTAAAGGCATACTGGACAACGGTACCAGCTGCTCTTCAGGGTCATCATCATCATCATCATCAACAGTTTCACCACCTACAACTCAGTCAACCACTGAGCCAACCTCAGCCCAGACCCCTACACACTCAGTGTCACTTGCAGTTACTGAACACACGAGCCTCTTCGACAAAGGTAAGATAAAATGTACATTAAATCAATTGACTGGTCTTCCAGCAGATAGAGTCCCCTCTTGTAAACATCATATGATCTTGACTTTTGTTAAAACACTGAATACGGCTATTGTTGAGAACAGAAGCATATGAGAGAGGTGACCTACAAAATACTGTCATGGATGACTTCAGTCATGATTCTACGCATCAGTCAGCAGACAAGAAACCATCATCTGGACAAGAGCAGCTTCACTCTGAGGAGACCTCGTAAGAGTTCAGCTGCACTCTGAGGAGACCTCGTAAGAGTTCAGCTGCACTCTGAGGAGACCTCGTAAGAGTTCAGCTGCACTCTGAGGAGACCTCGTAAGAGTTCAGCTGCACTCTGAGGAGACCTCGTAAGAGTTCAGCTGCACTCTGAGGAGACCTCGTAAGAGTTCAGAAGTGACTCCGGGGGGGTATCCGTATTCCCAAAGCATCTCAGAGTAAGAGTGCTGGTCTAGTATCAGTGTTGCATTTTAGATCATAATAAATCAGATGATACAGACGGGGTGACCGGATCCTAGATCAGCACTCCTACTCTGAGAAAGGAGGTTAAATCGCTCTATAACAATGGCGGTCTGAGGAGGCCCATATCCTGAGGAGCAGGGTTGGGGTCAATTCGAGTTCAAGAAGTGATTTTGAATTGAAAATTTAAAACTTGAAAAAAAAGGAATGAAATAAATAGCTTCCAGTTTATTGAGAAGTCATTGAAAATTGACACCCTTTTTCCCAAATGTTGAATTGGAATATCAGTGTACTTCCTGAATTGGCAGCCTTCAATTCGAATTGACCCCACTCCTGCTGAGGAGACGTCTGAAGAGTGTTAAAAAGTATGTGACCCCCTGGCTGTTTCTGTTTGCTCAGGCGTGGACCCAGGCAGTGGCAGTGGGATGCCTGTGGTGGGGAACACCTGGAAGTTTCTCCTTGGTGTGGTAGCCATCGCCCTGACCACCTCTATGTTAATCGTGTGTGCCGTCAAGTCCCCGTCCTGGTACAAGCTGCTGTTCAACTACCGGCACCAGCGGTTGAGAGATGAGGAGGAGGATGCTAACGTGTTCACTACAGGACGCTACTCTAACTTCAGCTTGGACACGGAGCACACGGAGACCAGCGCCCATGAGCTGGACCACAGGCCGGATGGGTTGGATGATGAGGAGGAGGAGGACGGATACATAGAGGACCGCTACATAGAGGCAGAGGACTATAAAGACAACACAGAACCCTGATGCTCTCTGAGCCGCTCCCAGCCTTCTGTTTGTGTATGTGACCTTGGGTATTGTGACATCAAAATGATCCCTTTCGATACGATAAAGTATCCTATTCTACTCTACTCACTGATAGTATGAGAAAGCCATGGTTGTCTGTACGTAACCCATGCATTGCCTGCTGTCACTGATTATCATTTATTGTTTGGCCATTGAGTTCAATGCTTTTCTCTTTCATCAGACAAAACGTGCCTAAAGGTTGTGTACATTTGTAAATATTTGCAAGTTTTGGAAATGTAGGAATTGAGTGAAAGGCCCGACCAGGTGGGGTGTTTTGAGGTCATGATTTAGGATACTTGCAAAGTTGTACTGCCGGAGACATAGTGTAGGTAATCAACGTTTTGTCATATTAAATACATATTTGAGTACTTACTCTCATCTCACTGTGAATATGACATCCATACTTTGGGCCTCTCTGTCGTTCTGTGCTTTCAGCTACAGGAAACTAGTATGCAAACAGTTAGGGTTAGGGCTGATTTAAGGAATTAATACATGAATGAATGAATGAATGAATGAATGAATGAATGAATGAATGAATGAATGAATGAATGAATGAATGAATGAATGAATGAATGAATGAATGAATGAATGAATGTATCCTATTGTGGATAATGAATGTATAAAACAGTTTGCTTAGTCATCAAATGAACTCACCCTATTGAAGTCATTCATTACATCCTCCATCTCAGTGTTGGTGTTCAACTTGTCAACCAGCTGAAATTCAAAATGGTTACAGCAGAATTAGTACATCCTATTGAGATACACATAACTCATTAGCTCATAGCTAACATTCCATCTTGGTAGCACTTCACATTACAGCACAGGATAAAGTGGTATTTACACGATAACTGTATGTTCACATGTTAGACGTGTGTGTCCCTTACCATGTTCTAATCTGACAGCTGTCCATGTCGATCCTTCAGTTCACCAGCAAGTCCTTCCGCTCTGCAGGGGATAAAACAACTGGACTTTTAGGTGACAGATCATCAAAAAAAAACCTGAGACGGGAGAACCAACTGATCTGATAACATTGACACGACTTGACAAAAAGTTGCTCTAAGTGCACATAATTATTTGTGCATTATATATAACATAGTTATTACATAAGCTGATCGCCATACCTTTTCTCATAGGAGATTGTAAACAGAGTTCTCCTGATTAAAGGTGTCAATCTCCTTCTGCAGTTTGCCGGTCTCTGTTGTCAGTTCATTGATCTTACTCATGCTGAGATACAGTGAACGTGGTCTTCTATGTGTACGAACAGATAGGCACATGAAGATACATGATATGTGGAGCTACATGTTCTGTTATGCCTTACCTGAGGAAGTCAAGGTAGTAGGATTTACCCAGACTCTGCCTCAGAGATCCTGGGAGATTAGGGCAGATCTCATGTCATGACAGAAAGATAAAACTAATGTTTGTATAATAAAACCTGGAATGTTTTATATGTAGGTCCTGTTTAGTGATGAGAGATTCTGCTTTTTCTATTGACTCTGATCTTATCGACTCAAAATAATAAATATTTCGAGTAATTTCGTTCATTATAGTCAGTAATACCAGCGAATGAGGAACTGAAAACTCGAAGAATAAAAAAATCATGATTCTACAAGCCTCTCGTTCACCATTGGGGGCTTATTGGAGCTGTCATTTGTGACTGAGACTTATAAAAGTGTGCTTCAAACATTTGTGATTGCTAGGCATACAAATACGATTATTTATTGATACCATCGAAACAATGTATAGTGTGGCCGCAACTGGACTAGAATGTGAACGACTCTTGGCAGAATGCATTGCTTGACTGCTGTGAGGTTGATAAGTACAATGTCGTTCATGAACTGCGGCCCCCCAAACGATTCGTTCTAGAGTTGGAGTTTGTTGACCAGAGGCTGCGTATGTTTTGGTTCTACAAAGCTGTGTCCATCATAACATTCAATAATCAATTGCGTTCATTCTTGCACCATACGATCAATTCTCAATTCTAAACATGTATTTTTCTTCTCTATGCTGCCTGCAGCATGATCTATTTATCTGGGCGCACGAGACAGTTGTTGGTCGGAGCACGTCTCCGGAGCCGCTGAATTTGAGGAGTTCATATTAATCCTGCTGTAGAATTAATTGGGGCCAGCAGGTCAAACGAACGACTAAAATGAACGATTCACTCTGAAAAACGAATCATGACTCAAGTCAGTAAAAATAGTTGTTAAAAAAGAACAAATCGTTGGCAAACTGCACATCACTATTATGTACAGTGCCTTGCAAAAGTATTCATCCCCCTTGGCGTTTTTCCTATTTTGTTGCATTACAACCTGTAATTTAAATGATTTTTATTTGGATTTCATGTAATGGACACAAAATAGTCCAAATTGGTGACGTGGAATGAAAAAAATAACTTGTTTCAAAAGATTCTAAAAAATAAATAACGGAAAAGTGGTGCGTGCATATGTAGCGGGTGATTTGGACGGAGTCAGGCGCAGGTGGATAAATCTCAGAATAAATGGTTTATTCGGCAAATACAACGGTACGCAGCAATGCGTAAAACTCTACAGTGCGGTATCAGCCCAGTCAAAACTAATCGCACCCCAATGGTGGAACAAGCTCACTCACGACACCAGGACAGCGGAGTCACTGACCACCTTCAGGAGACACTTGAAACCCTACCTCTTTAAGGAATACCTGGAATAGTATAAAAGTAATCTCCCCCCTCCCCCCCATAAAAAAAAAAAAACAACAGAAAAAGAAAAAATAGGAAAAAAAAGATAAAAATAACAATTTGACCAAAAATTGAAGAAAAATAAAACAGGTAAAATAAAAATTATTTATAATATTGGGTGGTTGTCACACTAGCTACAGTGAGGGAAAAAGTATTTGATCCCCTGCTGATTTTGAACGTTTGCCCTCTGACAAAGACATGATCAGTCTATAATTTTAATGGTAGGTTTATTTGAACAGTGAGAGACAGAATAACAACAAAAAAATCCAGAAAAACGCATGTCAAAAATGTTATAAATTGATTTGCATTTTAATGAGGGAAATAAGTATTTGACCCCCTCTCAATCAGAAAGATATCTGGCCCCCAAGTGTCTTTTATACAGGTAACGAGCTGAGATTAGGAGCACACTCTTAAAGGGAGTGCTCCTAATCTCAGTTTGTTACCTGTATAAAAGACACCTGTCCACAGAAGCAATAAATCAATCAGATTCCAAACTCTCCACCATGGCCAAGACCAAAGAGCTCTCCAAGGATGTCAGGGACAAATAATATGCCATTTATCAGACGCTTTTATCCAAAGCGACTTACAGTCATGCGTGCATACATTTTTGTGTATGGGTGGTCCCGGGGATCAAACCCACTACCTTGGCGTTACAAGCGCCGTGCTCTACCAGCTGAGCTACAGAGGAGATTGTAGACCTACACAAGGCTGGAATGGGCTACAAGACCATCGCCAAGCAGCTTGGTGAGTAGGTGACAACAGTTGGTGCAATTATTCTCAAATGGAAGAAACACAAAAGACCTGTCAATCTGCCTCGGCCTGGGGCTCCATGTAAGATCTCATCTCGTGGAGTTGCAATGATCATGAGAACGGTGAGGAATCAGCCCAGAACTACACGGGAGGATCTTGTCAATGATCTCAAGGCAGCTGGGACCATAGTCACCAAGAAAACAATTGGTAACACACTACGCCGTGAAGGACTGAAATCCTGCAGCGCCCGCAAGGTCCCCCTGCTCAAGAAAGCACATATACAGGGCCATCTGAAGTTTGCCAAAGAACATCTGAATGATTCAGAGGAGAACTGGGTGAAAGTGTTGTGGTCAGATGAGACCAAAATCGAGCTCTTTGGCATCAACTCAACTCGCCGTGTTTGGAGGAGGAGGAATGCTGCCTATGACCCCAAGAACACCATCCTCACCGTCAAACATGGAGGTGGAAACATTATGCTTTGGGGGTGTTTTTCTGCTAAGGGGACAACTTCACCGCATCAAAGGGACGATGGACGGGGCCATGTACCGTCAAATCTTGGGTGAGAACCTCCTTCCCTCAGCCAGGGCATTGAAAATGGGTTGTGGATGGGTATTCCAGCATGACAATGACCCAAAACACATGGCCAAGGCAACAAAGGAGTGGCTCAAGAAGAAGCACATTAAGGTCCTGGAGTGGCCTAGCCAGTCTCTAGACCTTAATCCCATAGAAAATCTGTGGAGGGAGCTGAAGGTTCGAGTTGCCAAACGTCAGCCTCGAAACCTTAATGACTTGGAGAAGATCTGCAAAGAGGAGTGGAACAAAATCCCTCCTGAAATGTGTGCAAACCTGGTGGCCAACTACAAGAAACGTCTGACCTCTGTGATTGCCAACAAGGGTTTTTCCAACAAGTACTAAGTCATGTTTTGCAGAGGGGTCAAATACTTATTTCCCTCATTAAAATGCAAATCAATTTATAACATTTTTGACATGGGTTTTCTGGATCTTTTTGTTGTTATTCTGTCTCTCACTGTTCAAATAAACCTACCATTAAAATTATAGACTGATCATGTCTTTGTCAGTGGGCAAACGTACAAAATCAGCAGGGGATCAAATACTTTTTTCCTTCACTGGCAGAAATATTTATGTTTTTCCAACAGTTCGTCTCCTTCCTCGGATACCACATCACCCCCCCAGGTGTGGAGATGGAGGGAGACCGCATTTCAGCCGTGCGTAATTGTCCGACTCCAACCACAGTAAAGGAGGTGCAGCGCTTTATTGGCTTGCCAATTACTATATGAGGTTTATCCGGGGCTTTGGCAAGGTCGCAGTTCCAATCACCTCTCTGCCATCCCGGCTCCGCTGGTCTGCTGAGGCTAACAGGGCTTTCAGTAACCTGAGGGTTCTGTTCACCTCAGCCCCTGTACTGGCCCATCCCGATCCATCATTGCCGTTCATAGTGGAGGTGGATGCGTCCAAGGTAGGGGTAGGCACTGTCCTATCCCAACGCTCGTGCACGCCACCCAAGCACCGCCCCTGTGCCTTCTTCTCTAAGAAGCTCAGCCCGGCGGAGCAGAACTATGATGTTGGTGATCGGGAGCTGTTGGCTGTTGTCAGAGCCCTGACCGTGTGGAGGCACTGGCTCGAGGGGGCAAAACACCCTTTCCTCATCTCGACTGACCACCGTAACCTGGAGTACATCCGGGCAGCGAGGAGGCTGAACACTCGCCAGGCCAGGTGGGCCTTGTTCTTCACCCGGTTTGATTTCACACTGTCCTACATACCAGGAACAAAGAACGTGAAGGCAGACGCACTGTCACGGCTGTACGACACAGAGCAGAGGCCCATAGACAACACCCCCATACTCCCGGCCTCCTGCGTTGTGGCGCCGGTAGTGTGGGCGGTGGACGCGGACATAGAGTGGGCGTAACGCGCAGAGCTCCGTCTTTCTTCTTCACGAAAAAGAAACTTGAGGAGGCGGGCGAAGTGGAGGGACGTATGAACCCCTGGCAGGGACTCGGAGACGTTTGTCTCCATAGCCTACGTTTCAGCCAGC